CTATTCGCTCCATGAGGCCGGTAAAGCACTCCTCGTATTTTCTCATGAAAATACGAGAGCTTTTAAGTGCTTTATCTTTAAGATCTTTTGTCATCACCTTTGCATGGGTCCCATCTCATTGCTCGATTCCGGGCAATGAGATGGCTGACTCACTTGCTAAGGTGGGCGCTATGGAAGGCGATATTTACGATCGACAAATCGTCTACGATGAATTTTTCTTCATTTATCGTCAACAGTCACTCGTCAGCTGGCAGAATAAGTGGAGTGAAGGGAGTTTGGGACGATGGCTATATTCGATCATCCCTAAGGTGTAGAAGATTCCATGGTTCAAGGGGTTGGATGTGGGTCGAGACTTCATTCGTATGATGTCTCGCCTCATGTCCAATCACTATTCGTTAAACGCTCACTTGTTCCTTGTTGGGCTGGGGGACAGCAATCTCTGTGAATGTGGACAAGGTTACCAAGACGGCGATCATATTATTTGGTCTTGTGCTGAGTATCGTGGAGTCAGATCTGAGCTGTACGATTCCCTTCGGGCTCGAGGTAGACAACCTAATGTTCCAGTTCGGGATATTTTGGCTAGACGCGATCTGGAGTTTATGAAACTCATATATGTTTACTTTAAGAATATTAACATTAGATTGTAAGTTTGATTAACCTTGTGTTTAGTTTGTACGTGTGGGTTTTTTTTATGTTTGTTTTCAAGATGATTAGAAACTAGTTCATGTTTTAGAATTAATTAAATATTTGTATCGTAAACCACATTTCAAACCTCCCTCTCCCTTTTCCCATCCAAAAAAATTGTAAATCTCCACTAGCCTCGAGACAACCGCGAGTATCCGGTCCAGCTCCTTTAACTTTAAATATAAGACATCAATAATGTATAACGAAAATGATAACTCGGCTCTGTACAAATAAAGTAATAAATAAAAAAAAAAAAACTTTTAGGAAGATACAAATCGGGTTGATCATCTCTCTTTACCAAACACCCCGTTAGAGAGGGATGGTGAGGGGTATCCTCCCTGCTACCACTGGCAAAAAGAGATGATCACCGACTTGCTCATGTACCGACGATGTGTTTGAAACAGTTCTATGGATTGTACCGTACTCAAGTTGTTATCTGAAGGGAGGGTAATTGTTTGTTTGTAGGTTTGGAAATTGCAGCTATTGTTACCTCTACCACGGTATGTGCTCTTGTTATCGTCAACTTGACGATCTCGAGGAGACCCGGGTAGGGTAGGTGCTGCTACTGTGCCTTTCGACCAATGACAGTAATTGATGGTAAGCTCCCATCTAGAGTTATATACTTTAACTATTTGTTTGTATTAATTTTCAGTGCCTACGCGGTAACCGTAAAAAAACTATAATTATAGTCAGGAACGCATTTGAGGGAAATGCGACTACGGGAAGTACCTTTTTTTCCTCGATCTTGTTTTCCGTCCTGAGTGTCAATGCTACAGACGCCAGGGAGGCACAGCTCCTACACCTGGACCCTACCACCTATCGACCCATCAACTCGTGGACCGGGGAACAACGGCTTTACTTCCCCCTTCCGAACGAAGGCGTGATCAGAAATTTTTGCCTCAGAAAATCTCAACGCGACGACCGGGATTGAACCCAGGTCCTTTGGAGTGAGAGGCAATCACGCCTACCACTACACCACCGGTGCCGCTAGGAAACTACCGATTAAATGAACTATTTGTTTAGCTTTTAAATCTACGAGTAAAATTTTTACCCCTTAATAAGTAGCTATTACTCACAAACAGTGTTGCTTCCACACATTAGCTATAACAACAAGTTTTTCTTAATTATGAAATCATTAGATGTTATAATGATATGCTGTACTTGTAGGTTTCAAGAAGAGGTTGTAAAACTCACCAAACCTGTCAATTTCGCTGTCAGAGCGTCACAATCAGCGATTTTATGATTCGTGAGCGTTCGCTCAAGAATCGTAAAATCGCTGGGTGTGACGCTCTTCAGTCTTCACGAAAACATGTACCGTGTTGAGCTTGAGTACTTAAATCAAAGTAAATGTTCAGCTTGAACTTACGCGCAATTTTGTACACAGGTACATTTCATACAATACACTCGGGTGTATCGATGTTCACATGATTGACCAATGTTTGCATATGGATACATTGCACATGGGTTTGTGCACGGAGTAAAATTATAAAATAACAAAAAAAACTCTACATACATGAATCTTGAACATGAATCAGACCTGCGTCTTGACTAGAGACGGGCGATCCGCTCCCGAGCTGTTCTATAGACCCGATTCTCTAAAGTGAGCTGAAGACCCGCGGTTAATTTTTTAGGAACCGCAGCTCATCAGCTCACTGATATCACAAGTCTAAACCATTCAATCCATCATTCATAGCGGAACTTTTCAAAAAAGGACTCATTACTCCACTTACGCATTGAATAGTCACCGCGTAAACCAAGACGCAAGCGTAATACACCATGTGCCTACTGATCGACAGCACAGCACCAATGGTAAAAGCAAACTTCCAAGCGACTGTTTGGGAGAGAGAGAGACATAGTACATATGCACATGTGCTACACGATGTTAATTTTCTACTGGTATTATCCAATTTATTTATGTACCCAGCCAGCTCTTATTGCTGATGTTATTCCTCCAGCATATGTGCTCTCACCTCTTCTCCCATCATTCTCTGGGGGAGCGGAAGATCCGCACAAAACAAATAACCGAAATAGGGGAAATGTATGGTAATTATCCACGGCCCATACAATTTTTTTTATTTTTTGTATGGACAATTGTCTACGCAGGGGGAGGGGGGTCAAGAATCCTAAAAAACTGTCTACGTAGTTTATGAACAGCCCCTTACCATCACTAGCAAGGAGTAGTGCTTCAACCCAGTGTAGATGAATTCTATTTGTTTTGAAAATCTTCACTGTCAAAAGCAAAATAATCAAATTCTTTTTGAGCAAAATGATTATTTTGAATATTCTCGACCCCAGAATCTAAAACCTAAATATTAACATCAATTCAACATGAGGCAATAATTTGCCATCGATCTGTGTGTAAAATCCAACACGACACGTTCTTGAGCGCTATATTTGTTACAAATGAAAATAATCATTTTACATTTGATCCTCAAAATCGATTCTGTGACACTACCCCGAACGCCATAACCCCGAACGCCGTTACCCCGAATTACCTAGAATGGCCACTACCCCGAAATTAAGACAAATGGAAGAACAGCAAGGGATCAAAAGAAGGGTAAATTTTTGAGAAGGAAATTTCCTTTTCTAATTTATACTGAATACAAATGATAGGATTCTATAACATTCCCCAGAATCTCATTCCCCAGAATGCACCATTCCCAGAATGAACCATTCCCCAGAATGTACCATTCTCCAGAAAAGTATGCCATGTATTAGATTGACTATTTTTGTTTATTATAGTCACTCTTGGAATCTTCTTTCGCGTATATAAAAAGAAAAAAAAAACTTCTTAGGGTCTGTTCATAAACTACGTAGACAGTTTAGGGAAAGTTGGCAATTGTGCACGGTCCATACAAATTTAAAAAATTTTGTATGGAAAATTGTCTACGCATGCCCCTCCCCATGGAGGGGGGTCAAAAATCTAAAAAAAACTGTCTACGTAGTTAATGAACAGCCCCTTAATGGCTCCCATCTTTTAAAATATAATAAAAGGAAATAATTAATTCTTTGGATATACGATAAAGAAGGGAATATTCCCTTCTTTTAATATATAAAAGAGAACATAATCAATTCGTTAAATATATGATAAAGAAGGGAATATTCCCTTCTTTGAAAATATAGCAAAAGGAAATAATTAATTCTTTGGATATGCGATAAAGAAGGGAATATTCCCTTCTTTGAATATATAAAAGAGAACATAATTAATTCGTTAAATATATGATAAAGAAGGGAATATTCCCTTCTTTGAAAATATAACAAAAGGAAACAATTAATTATTGGATAAACGATAAAAAAGGGAATATTCCTTTCTATGAATATATAAAAGAGAAAATAATTAATTCTTTGGATGTATGATAAAGAAGGGAATATTCCCTTCTTTTAATATATAACGAAACTATGTAATCAATAGCTTTTGGCAAGGGATTCGGGGTAATGACCATTTGGGATAATAACGTGTGGAATAATGCTATAAATTTGTAATCGATAGGCCAACGTTCCATGCACCGATTTTTCAATCCATAACGAGAAATTCTTCAACTCAGGTCGAACAATTCTTTGATAGTGTTTAACAGTTTCCGACTGGTTGAATTGGATTGCATATTAGACCCTTTGACTTTTTAAATGGTGAACGAAGTGCTCGAAAACTTGAAGGTTGTCATTTTCTAAAGAGCTTTAAAATGGGTTGGAATTGATAAATACATAGTTCCATAAAAGTAAATGTAGTGTATCATCAATTTGGTAAAGTGAAACTAATCATGAAAAATATATTAAATCAAATGTGTAAAATTTATCGAGAAAATTTGTATTCAGAAGATGTATTATTCAGTGTGCAAGATACTTGCGGACCTGTATATTTATGGACGCCTTACATTAGAAAAATCATTGTGTTTAAAACTCTGAAATATTCGGAAAGGATTAAGCTTACTACGTTTATGTACGTCAATGGATGGAGACATCCATATTCAGGGCCTTGCATTGGAACTTTGTAATAAATAAAATATTTATAGTTGAAGATGCTAATTTCAAATAACAGACTTTAGTGGTAATTTTTATACGATAGATGGAGTAGATGAAAGCATAGAGTTGATAGTTCCGTTAGAGTACGGCAGTGTGAAGATTGTATATAGATATTAGACAAGCGAGCTAGGACAACTTTTAAGGAAGGTACAAATCGGTTTTTTCATCTCTCTTTACCAAACTCCCCCTTTGGAGAGGGATGGTGAGGGGTGTCCCCCCCCGCCACCACTGGCAAAAAGAGTAGAAGTAATACTAAAAAAAAACATAGTCAAAGTACATAACTCTGGATGGGAGCATACCATCAATTACTGTCAATTGTCGAAAGGTATAGTAGCAGCACCTACCCCACCCGTGTCCCCTCGAGATCGTCAAGTCGACGATGACAGGAGCACATATCGTGGTAGGGGTAAACAATAGTTGCAATTTCCAAACCTGCGACTGGATGCCTTCCTTCAAATAACAACTGTAGTGCGGTAAAAAATCGGTAGAACTGTTTCAAACACACAGTTGGTACACTGCCGCTCTTCGCATATCGGTCCCATAGCAGTTTTTGTCAAAACTGAGTTTTACAATGCAAATGGTAGCTGATCACCCATATTTCCTTAATACTGGATGAACTCAACAACTTTGTTCTGAAAAAGTTTGGAAAGACAGCCAAATTGGTTGTCTCATCACATAAGAAGCAATGGTACGAATCAAGCTTAAAATGCGATTTTCTCGGCTTGCTGATTTTTGCCATGGGACCGACATGCGAAGAACGGCAGTACATGAGCGGGTCGGTTTTTATCTCTTTTTGCCAGTGGTGGCGGGGGGGGGGGGGGGACACCCCTCACCATCCCTCTCCAAAGGGGGAGTTTGGTAAAGAGAGATGAAAAAACCGATTTGTACCTTCCTTAAAAGTTGTCCTAGCTCGCTTGTCTAATATCTATATACAATCTTCACACTGCCGTACTCTAACGGAACTATCAACTCTATGCTTTCATCTACTCCATCTATCGTATAAAAATTACCACTACAGTCTGTTATTTGAAATTAGCATATTCAACTATGTAAATCGTTGACTTCACGTAGAAGTAATACTACAAAAAAAAACATAGTCAAAAAAAAAAAAATATTTATATTAAGCTGTTCTGTAATATAAAACTGAAATATAATATCAAATGACCAAAAAAGAAGTGATAAATTACTAATTTCATCATCTTTTCTGGGGAATGGTACATTCTGGGGAATGGTGCATTCTAGGGAATTGTTTTCTGGGGAATGGTTTTCTGCGGAATGTTATAGAATCAATGATAGTTTTTTATTGGAATTTAGAAACACTTAATTTGCTGTTTGCTGTTTACAATCTGAAGCCTTTCTGCTCTTACAACTGAGTGTTTTTGGCCTTTCGTGATTCGGCCTTTTGTGTATTTCGGCCTTTTGTGATTCGGCCTTTCGTAGTACTCCCATACTATGATCTAATACTTAATATGAAATATTATCGGTATAGATGAAAACTGGAATAACCCATCAGCGAGAAACCATTTTACTTTTGTTCTGTATGTTGAACATAGTGTTGGAAGTAGTGCGCAGTAATCACACAATCCTCAAAATCATCCCCACCAAGATGAAGACGATAAATAATATTGACAACACAGAGGCGATAATGAACATCCTGCCATGAATGAAAAATAAAAGAAATGTTGACTTCGATACTCATCAGAGGCAAGCTTACTTCAACTCATTTGCTATAAAAAAAAATGATTTTCCGGATTTTGAAATCATCAGATATTAATTATATGAAAGAAACAAATAATAAAGGTAAAAGGTAATAAGATAAAGATAATGAAGATTGTGAAATTTGTGTTTGATACATTTTTTTTTCCTTGATTTGTTTTCCGTCGATCTTATTTTCCGTACTGAGCACCAATGCTACCGACGCCAAGAAGGCAGCTCCCACACCTGAACCCTACCTATCGACCCATCAACTCATGAACCGGGGACCAACGGCTTTACTTCCCTTCCGAAGGAAGGCGTGATCAGAGATGTTATTCCTTAAGAACATCCCCGCGGTGCCGACTGGGATTGAACCCAGGCCTGCTGGGGTAAGAGGTAATCACGCTTACCACTACACCACCGGCACCGCTATGTGTTTGATACATTTTTTTTATATTAAATGTGTTTGATAAATTGACAGGTATCAATTTTGCTACATGAGTGTCGCAATAAGCGATTTTGCCATTTATCTCACCCAATCTTCGCGAAGAAGCGATTACAAAATCGCTCATTGTGACTCTGTCAAAGCTAAATTTGTAGGTTTTATGTTACACAGACTTTACAATCTTGTCTTGTTACGTATACATACAACATATCATCATAATATCTTATTATTCCATAATTTCATAAAACATTTTTTTTACCAAAATGAATGGAAGGCACCCTGGATATTATAGTGATATTTTGTACTTGCTATATACAAGAATAGCTTGAAAGGCAATTGTTTGACACATAAAACCTGTCAAATTCACTTTCAGATAGCCACAATCAGCGATTTTGCCTCACCATAAAATCGCTGATTGTGACACTCTAAAAGGGCAATTGACAAATTTCATAACACATACTTTACAACCTCTTCTTGTAACTAATAAATGTAATAACATCTAATGATTTCATAATTCCGAAAAACAATTTTTAAAGGCAAGTGAGTGGAAGCAACCCTGCTCAGAGGTTGCCTTGAGGGTTACTTTCACTCACTTGCTATAAAAAAATATTTTTCCTAATTATAAAAACATTAGATTTTATAATGATAATTAGTACTTGTAAGTTACAAGAAGAGGTCGTGAAGTATGTGTTTGACACATAAAACCTGTAAATATTGCGTTCAGTGCATCACCATCAGCGATTTAACGATTCGTGAACGCTCGCGAATTATAAGATCGCTGATTGTGACGCTCTGAAAGCGAAATTGACAGGTTTTATGAATCAAACACATACTTTACACCCTCTTCTTGTGACTTACAAACAAGTACAACATATTATTATATCATCTATTGATTTCATAATTCCAAAAAACATTGTCTTATAGCAAGTGAGTGGAAGCAACCCTGGTTGCCTTGATCAAGAGAATGCTGTTATATCAAAATTCAAATTCACGCAGGTAGTTGGTCTATCTGTTAAGGTTGTCTTCATTTTAAGCTAAGTTGAGTGTAGAAGAAATGATTTTTATCAGCACTGCTAGTTATTCTAAAGAAGTTTTCTTTACTAATGTTTAACCTAACATGAGCACTAGAACTATAATCTGTTAATCCGATTTGTACGGACAAATAAATAATTAAACCCAAATAAACTGATTTATTAATATTGGCCTGAAAATAAGAATCAACTTACATCGACTCCAAACGTGAAACTAACACCACGATCATTCTCGCCATAACCATTGGTATCCTTGTCCGGATCAGACCATAGGAGATCACAAAGCAATCCCTGATCAGGCACGTCCGTTGGTCTCATGATGCGACGAATCTGTTCCATCGATTGGAGGTCAGGGCTTAACCCACCGTGGCAACAGAAAATTTTTTCGTCCACGATTGCTGCCACCGGTAAGCAGTTGAAGCAATCGGTAAACGTTTTCCACATCTTGATGTTGTAACGTCGCTTACATTCATCATAGAACCTGTAATGAGAAAACACAAAAGAAAATATTTACACAAGTAAACGGATTGAAAATGCACTTGTTGTTGAGTTTATTAAATTTGAAATACAGTTGTTAATGGATTAGCTGAACGAGAGGTTCAGTGGAGAAATAAACCATTCGTGTTTCACATTGCCACCAATGAACAAATTTTTGAATGCCCATGTAATTCGATATGATTCATGAAGAGAGGAATAGGGGAACGTGGGGTGGATTTTTTTTTAAATTACCGAACAGGTTTGGGCCGAAGGGTTTCGATTTCTATGAAACTTCGCCCATAGGTAGAGTTCATGGATATATTAACAAAAGTAAATTAAAAAAATCAGGGTTGCCAATTTTTCCGGAAAACCTTAGTTAAAGTTTTCCAATTTTCTCGGACACCACCTACTTTAAAAAAATCATAGCTTTTGAACTAATCATTGCACAGTCAAAGTTAATTAACAAAAATTACTTGTAATTTTGTCAGCTATTGATAAAGTTGGATACAGTTGGAAACAAATTTCGCATGAAGATTTTCACAAATTAAAGGAAAACCAAAAAAAAAAGCTGTGGAAATTATCGTCTGTATCATGATTTTTTATAAAAAAAATGTTTTCATGTTTGAAAATTTAAAAGTTTTTTTTTCGGTGAACATTTTAAGATGGTATCTTATACCGTTTTTGAGATATGCCCAAAAAACTGAAGACTGGTCTAGCGCTCTTAAAAAATATCTACCTACCTATCTATATTGTACAATCAAGAACCTTGACTTACTGAAATTGAAAATCATTTGTATCATTCGTAGTTCTCTTTTGGTGATTGTTACCAGGCATGGAAATAAGAATTCTGTAGCACATACACACAAAAAATTATCACTAATAAAATTTAAAAAAAACCATTGGTAGAATTAAAAGTTTGCATTGGTTCTTTTTGGTAGAAAGTCATTAGCATTCAAAACAAAAGTCAGACAACTTTCTAATCAAAAGTTGCCTGTTCACTGTTTTTAAAAGTTGAAACTTTCAAAATAAATTGTTCTGCTGTCAAAAGAAAAACTCGACTGGGTTGAAATTAAAAATGGATTTTTTAAATTAAAATCATTGAGTTTGAAATAATAAAAATTCAGTTAAAAATAAGCAATTTTAATATTATGACACATAATTTTCATTTTAAATTCTATAAAATATTAGTATCAGTTTTTTTTATTCCTAATGTTTTTATTATAATTTAATTAATAAGGTTTTGTATACTACAATATTTCTCGCAGGTTTTATAGACTCCGATATTCCTTCGATGTACCGTTTCATGTTTTCCAAGCTGAGCACCGGATACTTCTGATAACATTCCTTTGTCAGTTCTTGCAATTTTCGCTCAGGAGGATACATCGGATCGGCTAGAGGAATGCTTTCCCGGTGGAACCACCGTCAATGGCATCCGTAGTGGCTTCTGTGGTGTCAACACCGAAGATGGTGCAAAGTGCTTCGTACTTTCCAGAAACGAGTCAATATCTGCAACAAGATAAGACCACCTATAAATAATTCACCTATAAAACCTAACCCCAAAGTAACTTACCTAGTATTCAACTCCAGTTACACATTCTGAATGGCCAAACCTGATTCCAGCACTTCCATATGCTCGCACTGCACTCCACTGAACATGCGAATACATATGTATTTTAATATTTTAAACTACATTTAAGTAAATCAAACTGGTAGATTTTTTTGGCCCGGGATTTTTGTTTTTTTTTTTCACTTGTGATGGCTGTGGTGCACGAAAAAACGAAATAACCCAACATGTAGTCCATGGTATTTTTGACAGTTCAACAATTTTCATTTTGAAAATATGCCTTTTTAAAATGACAAGTATAAAGTGAAAGACAAACTTTTAAAATAACAATATTGCTTTCATGTTAAATATTGTCGTAGTTGAAACTACCAAAGTCGGGAGACTTTTAATTTGAAAATGCATTATTTTTGAAGGAACAATTTTTATTTTTTGTGTGTAAGAAAAAAATGTAAATTTCAAACTCACCGTTCAAAAGTAATCTGAACGGTGAGTTTGAAATTTACATTTTTTATTATGTGATTTTTTTGCGGATTTTGAAATTTACATAGGGGAAATGGATCTAATGTTGGCCTATGGATCTTAGATTGGGCCCATCGCTAAAAATCTACTATTTATCAATTTTATCTAGATGAACGCGTCATTGGGACGGTACTATTGGATATTTTGGTCACAATTGAAAATTTAGTCGTTTTTTGAATTTATGTATGGTCCCAAATTATGGGCATTTAGGCCGACATTGCATCCTACAAAGGTTTGAGCTGGACGATTTATCTTTAAGATAATTAAATATGACATTTTAACCAGGTTAGCAAACAAAATCGAACTGATTTCAGTTACAGATATAAATTCCCTCTAGAGTTTACAGTTGCGATATAAATGTGAAAAAGCTCAGGCGTCCACCTCTTAGTTCGCCTTTTTGTCCACCTAAAATATTCATAAGTATTACAAGCAATCAAGAGTTAGTGAGCAATCAACAAAGCATCCTATTACACTAGCAACCCCGCAATCTGATGCTATCATAATTTTCACCAAAGTCAGGAATGCTCACGAACCCCCTACATTTGTCAGAAAACTTACTACTAACTCAAGGTATCTTCCAAATAAGCTTCAAAATTGCATTTTTTTTTTAAATGTTAAATTCAGTCCTCTATATCCGTAGTACGCGCGCGAGGCTCAAACCTTTGTAGACTACTATTTTTTTTTACTACTACTATTAAATCAAATATCAAAAATCCATCATCACCATCGTGGCGAACAAAACAGTTTTTGCAGTGCTACAATAATTATTAAAAAGTCGTTATAACAGCTATCCATACAAAATAATCCGTTAAAAATAACTTCGTCAATATACATAATTTGTCAATTCATAATCACTGGATAACCGTTCAAAAGACAGTTTTAACGTGTGAAATGCAATGTCTTTTAAATTCTGCTAATGTTGTTGCACGTTTAATGTGTCTAGGCATAGAATTGAAAACATTTATTCCTTTAAAAAATAATGAATTCTGTAAAGCACAAGTCAAGAAATGTGGTGTTCTTATTTCATCCGCGTTTCTAGTATTATATCTATGATAAAGGGTGATACGGTCAAAATTTGGTCAAGGGAAAACGCGTGTAAATCGGTGAAATCGTTTATTTAAAAAATCAAATTAAATTTCTTTTTCAAGTTCAATTAGTATAAAATTCAGGAAAAATATTCAGTTAGGCTTCCGCTTTTCCAAATCCGAATTGCCGGGCCTTACGCTTGACCCCTGCCATCAGATTTTGTACAACCACCTTGTCCACCTTCTTCGCCGCAGAAAGCCAGTTTGCCTTGAACTGCTGCTCGCCCTTAGCAGTTTTTTTGGTCTTCTTTAGGTTCCGCTTGACAATAGCCCAGTATTTCTCAATTGGGCGGAGCTCTGGCGTGTTGGGAGAGTTCTTGTCCTTGGGAACCACCTGCACGTTGTTGGCGGCGTACCACTCCATGGCCTTTTTACCGTAATGGCAAGATGCCAAATCCGGCCAAAACAGTACGGAACAACCGTGTTTCTTCAGGAAAGGCAGCAGACGTTTATTCAAACACTCTTTCACGTAAATTTCTTGGTTGACAGTCCCGGAAGCTATGAAAATGCTGCTTTTCAAGCCACAGGTACAGATGGCTTGCCAAACCAGATATTTTTTTGCGAACTTTGACAGTTTCATGTGCTTGAAAACATCTGCTACCTTTCCCCTTCCTTTTGCCGTATAAAACTCCTGTCCCGGAAGCTGCTTGTAGTCGGCTTTGACGTAGGTTTCGTCGTCCATTACCACGCAGTCAAACTTCGTCAGCATCGTCGTGTACAGCCTCCGGGATCGCGCTTTGGCCGTCGTATTTTGTTTATCATCGCGATTTGGAGTCACTACCTTCTTGTAAGTCGATAGTCCGGCTCGTTTTTTGGCTCGATGCACGGTTGTAGACGATACACCCAGCTTATTTGCGGCATCTCGGAGAGAGAGGTTAGGGTTTCGCTTGAAACTACCGGCAACTCTCTTTGTCGTCTCAGCGGCTTCCGGTTTTCGATTTCCCCCCGATCCAGACTTCCTGGCTGTCGACAAACGTTCCCCAAACACTTTAATTACATTTGTAACGGTTGATTTGGCAACTTTTAGCGATTTTGCCAACTTTGCGTGCGAGTAGCTCGGATTTTCGCGATGCGCGAGCAAAAATTTGATACGCTGCTCTTCTTGCTTGGACGGCATTTTGACAACTGAAGAGTGAATTCCAAAATCAAAATAGGAGCAACATTCTACACACACACACCTTCAAAATGAGGGGTGTTCAGGTTTTTTAAATGCAAAATTGAAAGAAATACGTCAAGTTGATATTGACCAAATTTTGACCGTATCACCCTTTAGTCACTTCCTGACATCGATCACACAAATATCGAGGCAGCAAATCGTTAACTACTTTAAAAATGAACACCATAGTCAAATATACAATTCTTTGCTTAACCGACAACCATTGTAAGGCGTCCAGCATCAAAGTTGAGGAAGTGAATCTATTGCATCGCAAAATCAAACGCATTATTTTACTCTGCAAGCGCTGTAATCTCGATATTTGTGTTTCATTGAGTTGGAGGCGAACCAGCCTAAGGCTGAAAGCCTCCTAAATAAAGCTAAATAATAATAATGTTTCATTGAACAGAAATAAAATGGATGGGCAAAAGTCTAGATGAGGAGAGATGATTGATTTGTATAACTGTATTTTACTGGCAATAGTTAAATCGTTTTTCAATCGACATAGAATTCCATACTTCTTGGCAATTTTCTTGATGACATTGTCAATGAGAGAGTTGAACTTAAGTTTGTCATCAATAATCACGCCAAGATATTTAATCTCCTGAACGCGATCAATAGTCTCATCATCAATTACAACAGAGACGTTCTCATTTAATCAATTCCGCGAAATTACTATACAT